ATGGTGTGCGCAAGCTGCCATTTGTCACTTTGCAGTGTAGCGGCCGTGTCTGTTGCTTTTTCACTCTGCGTTGACGTGTTGTTAGTTTGTGCTGAAGGCTGCACGCAATTGACAGGAGTGATGGCGATGATGACTGGCCGTGTGCTGCTGGTGTGTGCCCTCTGCGTGCTGTGGTGCGGTGCCGGCGGAGATGCAAGGGACAACCGCTGCGTTGAGGATGATGGGAACGTATTGACGCACACGCATAATGGAGGAAATGATGGACTGCGCCTGAAGGCGGATTTCGGGTTGATTTCTACCCGAATGGGATTAATAAAGGCGGTTGCGGCTGAGGAATGAGGAGAAGAAGAATTAGAAAGTGTGGGAAGAGCATCGCCTGATAGTCTGCTGGCCGTTACTGAGGACAATGCAGCGCCTGGTCCAAAAGAAGGGAAAGGTGCCGCAGGTGCAGCAACAACATCGCTGCCTGGGCCTGGAGTGTCAGGGACGGGTGATGAAAACGGACAGTTACCTGCGGCTGGTCGAGAAGGAAATGAAAACAAAGACGTGGATCCCGGCAGCAAAGAGCCAAAGGAGTCCCAAGACCGAACCAACGATCAATTGCCCTCTCCATCTGGCAGCTCTTCCACTCGTTCTGGTGAAAAACCCTCTTCGACGGGTACGGATGACTTTACTCCATTGCCCAATGACACAGAGACAAAAGGAGATGCCAGTCGTCAGGCTATAAATGGAAGTGATGACGCGATAGAGGAAGAGGATGGAGAAAAAGAGAAGGAAAAAAAACAAGAAAAAAACACATTACTACCCGAGAAACACGAGGGTCAAAATAATGGAGGAGGAAAACCACCACCATCATTACCCGCACCACTACCGCCATCGGGTGGACCTGCAACATCATCAACAGCAGGTGAAGGAGGCCCAACAGCAGAAAAAGAAAGCTCACAGAAAATAACCGAAGTAATGAACGAAAACACACCGTCACGATCCAAAAAGGGCTCAGAAGCATCGGCACCACCTTCAGAGGATGCTACACAAGAGCAGCACAGTCATGACACAGACACAGAGGATTCGGCAAGGAATGCAACAACCGGCACTCCAGCAGAAACATCATCATCATCTACCTCTGCAAGTGGCAGCGGTGATCATGTCCGGAATAAGGCAGATGAGGATGATGCTCAAAGAAATGAAGGACAACACGACAGCCTTGAAACTGGCAATACCAACGTTGTTCTAATACTCAGTGAGACAGCGTCAAAAACGCCAGAAACAATCACCGCCAATACAACTGATACGACGCCCGGTGATGGCAGCACCGCGGTCTCCCACACCACCTCCCCTCTTTTGCTTCTTCTTGTTGTTGCGTGTGCGGCTGCTGCTGCGGTGGTGGCCGCGTGAGAGTGAGGGAGAGAGAGCCGTGCACCGCCCGCACACACACTCGTCTTTCACTCACTCTGTCTGTGTGTCCCCTTGCATGGATTCTCGCCCTCACCTCACCCCACGAGGCACACACATAATGTGCCCATTGTATATATGCATGCACACCCATGCAGGCCCGTTGGTGCTCTCTTTTGCACGACACGCACCGCTGCCGTCCTGCCTGGCTGCATGGGCGGAGCACCGTAACTGTTTCTGTTTTGTTTTTATTGCATTGAGTGGACGACCTCTCTCTCTCCCTGTGTGTGTGTGTTTTGCTTTACGGGAGCAATGAGAGTGTGTGCGCTGGTCGTCCCACGCTTCGGCTTTTTATTTTGTTTTTGTTTTACTTGTGTTGTGGTTGAGCGCACCCATTACACTTGTTTGTACTTTATTGGCATGCTTTGACTGCTGACTGTTACGTTGTCTTTTTCTATTTTTGTATTGCTTCTTTCTTATTGTTCAGAGAGTGTCAGCCTCTCGCATCCTTGTGACGCCACCAAGTTTTTTCCTTTGACATACGCCATGCGTCATTTGTCCCATGGCACTCTGCGGCCTGCTGCGCTTTTGGTTCTGCTTGTGATGATGTCTGCAATGTGATTTGTCGGCGGGTGTCTTGATGTCAGCCTGACGCATCCTTCGTTCCCTGACGATTTGTTGCGTACCGACGGTGCGTGGGCGTCTCTGGTGACAGTGAGGGACGCGTGTCTCAGAGCGCAGGATGCGTCGCGGGTGTGCGGCGTCGTTTGGAAGTACCGATGGGTGCCCATCCGCATCCAGGCGTCATCAACGGACTGTGAGGGCAGCATAAGGCACTGCGGCTTCTTTTGGTGTTGCACAAAGAGTTTATTGGGCAGTGCGTTTGTTCTCAATCTTTTGCAGCTTTTGTGGGGGAAGGTGGGAAGTTGAGGGCATGAGGACTGAATTCATTTGTGTGGCTGCGTACCGTTGACTTGCGGCCAGTCGTGGCACTCTTTTGGGGTTTGGCCGCTCGTCTCTTTTGTTTACTTCCCACCGCAGCACGTGCATAGCACTGATCCGAGGAACATTTGTTTGACCGCGTGTGGGCTGCTGCCGTGCGTGGCGCATGGACTATGTGATTGTGTGGGGAGGTGCATGGAGTGACGAATACTTCTGTTTGGCGTGTCGCGGTGTGTCGGAATGATGTTCGGATGACATGTGGAGGGTGTTGTTTGTGGTTTGTGTGTCTTCTCTGGTGGAGCCGACATGTGTGCGGGATTGTGGCATTGCTGGCTGACAGCTCCACGTCACTTTTCGGCATTCCTGGATGCGCTGAGGAATGACGGCTGGCGCCCAGCGTGTTGGTGCTGCTGGTGGGAATAAGTACACGAGGAATGGGCCGTTTTCTCTTTTCCGTGCTGGAGCCGATGAACTGGCACGAGGGCACCGGCTGCAGGCTGCTTGCCAGCACGTGTGAGCAGCGGATCCATGCACACATGGACGCCCATCGCAAGAGCGTGTGCGATCACAGTGGCCTTTTGTGGCGTGCTTTTTTGGACGTCAGCCCATCGAAGAATGTGTGAAGCAAACGGCTGGCTGCACACGAGGAAAATAAGTGCGTGCACTGTGCCGTGATTCAGCGTCGATGGCAGAGCGACAGGAAGCCCGTGCTGGCAACTGAGATCTTTGCGTCGCGAGGGATGTCGGTGTTGATTTTGGATCGTCGAGGGTGAAGTGATTTTGCTGCTGCCCGTGTGTGTGGCCACCCCGGCAGAGGGCGGACACAAAAGGGAGGGATGCAGGCGCTGCGTGTGTGTATGCAGGTGCCATGCAACAACGTCACAACAAACATGCTGCGACTCGGTGACCTCCACATCGTTGTGGTCCTCACGCACAGCGGAGGCACGGCCCACATCGATGCACTCAGTGGACGGAGTGAGGCATCTTTTGAGGCGCAGCAGGGAACAGGATGTGTTGACGCAGCCGCGACGTGCATGGAGTGTCACGATGGTACAGTCAGCTGTGGCTGGTGGAATATTTACTTCTCGGAGGCAACAGAGAGAGAGAGAGAGAGCTGCCCCTGCTGCTGGCGTCGTTGCTGCCTCTTGTGGCCTCCCATGCCGATTATTGTCTGTCCGCTGATCATGGGTGGCATGCCTCCACTAGTGACGTCGTCTGCAGGCATTTCACAGCACCAGTGAAGCACACATCACGTCGCATGCTTTGGCTGTGGATGTGGTGTCGTGAGTGCAGCTGGCATTATATTGCCCGACCCCTTTTCACTGCATTGCGACGAATAGATGCGTCGCCGCCCGAGTCATTTGCTGCAGCTCCGTGTGTTGTACTGCCAGCACAAGACTCTCTTGTTGTCTGACGCCTGGCTGACAGTCCAACACCACTGCGTTGGGACATGCAGGGATGTGGACTGCCGCTCACGGTGTTGGGCACCGCTGCTTGGATGCGGCGGCCACACGAGCGGATGTATTGTGGCACAATGAAATGCGTGAAGTACGCGGAATCACAGCGGCTGCAATAATATCAGCGGTGTGGCACCACGGAATATGTGAGAGGGTGATGCATGATGAATCACAGTGGGCGGCATGCGAGGGAAGTGCACCGCGACGGAGCGTCATCCCGCCCTCAGCCTGCAGGGGAATGTACACCCACAAAATATATGGACGAGGCACCACCAAACACACATGCCCTTCCATGCACCAATAAATAGGAGCGAAGGTGCGCTCTGGTGTGTGGGAGTCCACTCACATATTTTCATTTCCACCGCAATAAACGCTGAGGAATCGGGTGCCACAGCAACGAAAGGAAAAACAAACATCTATTGCAGCACTTTACCGGCGAAATGCAGGAACAACACAAACCGAATTATTGGCTGCACCAACACAAGAAACATTCACAAGAGGAAAAAATAATAATTGTGCACCCTGCAGAAATCCCCAACACACGACCCTGGCATGAGGGTTTGCCCTCTGGAAAAACAAAACAACGCATGCAGACATCTGCCAACACTCAAGCAGAAACACAATTAAATGGATGCTTGCAGTATGCCATTCCTTGCGCTTATATTTGCTTGTGCGGCTGCTGCGATGATTTCCCAGGCCTGCATGAAGTGGTGTGCTCTGAATATGAACGAGGGCCGAAGGCAACTGAACTGTTTTTGTGATGAATATTGGCTGCACTTTTCGTGGACCATCAATCCACGTGGTGTGCGGGGATCTCCTTTTTAATTGTTACTTTGCTTTTGTGTTGCTGTGTGCGCTGCACCTCCTCTTGTGTGTGCGTACCCTCCGTGAGGGGTGCCGACACGACGGACCGCTCTCGCCGTATGTGCATGCGGTGGAGCCTTGTGTGCCGCTCCTGTTTGCTTCTCCCCCTTCCATCTGTGTGTTGGTGTTGCGGCAGGGCTGTGTGTGTGTGTGTGTGTGCGTGCTGCCGTGGATTGGAGTGTGTGTCGTGCGTGGTGTGCGGCGTACGGTGCATGCCTGGCTGCTGCCCTCTCCTCATGTGGTGTGCCCTCTGTGTGTGTCTGCCGCACCTCTCGTCTCCCCTGTTGCTCTCCATGTCCCTCACTGTGCAGATCAGCTCCACACCACTGAACGACCACACTCACGATGATGAAGACGTGCCGTCTGCTGTGCGCCCTGTTGGTGCTCGCCCTTTGCTGCCGCCCGTCCGTGTGCGTGGCGGAGAGTGAAGACACAGCTGGTAAATCTGGAAAAGGTTCTGTTCCAACAATTTCTATGCCAGTCTACCCAAAGCAGGTATCGGATCCGTCAAGTAAAACTCCTTCTCCACCAAAGATAAACGATGAAGTGGGAGGGACGGAACAGTCACGTACAACGGGTACAGTAATCGAGACGCCACAGTCACAAAATACTTCCAATAATGCACAGGATCAAGATGGTGGAAAACCCACTACTGAAGATGCAGATATTGATAAGGCCAATATGTCAAATGAACAAAATAAGAAAAAATATGCATCAACTGCGACAACGACGACCACGACAACTACAACACGGGCGCCAACCACCACCACTACGACGACAACGACCGCTGCGCCACAGGCACTAAGCACTACGACGACCACAGAGGCACCAACCACGACGACCACCCGCGTACCGTCACTTCTGCGCGAAATCGACGGCAGCCTCAGCAGCTCTGCGTGGGTGTGTGCCCCGCTGCTGCTCGCTGTATCCGCGCTGGCGTACACCGCTCTGGGCTGAAGAATTATGTGCGGGCTGTGCGTGCCAGCACTCAACCACAGGGTTTTGTGTGCGTCCACTGTGGTCCGATGCAACTAAATAAGAGAAAATAATGATTGTTTTTGCTTCATTTGCTTCCGCTGCCCTGCTGCGTGGTCAGCGTTGCTGCTCCCTGTATCCGTTACTTTGAACGCGTCCCGGACACACTCATATGCATGACATGCATAAAACTGTTTGCGTGGACGCATCTCCGTGTGTGGATGCATGCACACTGGAGACATTCGTTGCAGCTCTTTGTTTTCTGTGTGTTTTTACTTGTTTTGACTTAATTGCTGTTATTTACCGTTTTTTTATTTTAATTGTTTTTTGTATGTTTTTCGTGCTGACAAATTATTGCGGAGCTGTGTGTATTGTTCTTTTTTGTTCTTTCACTGATTCCAACTGCCTCATGGTACGTGCACTGGGCCGCTGCCGTTTGTCACTGTCCTGTGCGTGGTGTAGCGGCCTTGTCTCCCCTTTTGCTTTCCCTCTGCGTTGACGTGTTGTTAGTTTGTGCTGAAGGCTGCACGCAATTGACAGGAGTGATGGCGATGATGACTGGCCGTGTGCTGCTGGTGTGTGCCCTCTGCGTGCTGTGGTGCGGTGCCGTCGGAGATGCAAGGGACAACCGCTGCGTTGAGGATGATGGGAACGTATTGACGCACACGCATAATGGAGGAAATGAAGGGCTGCGCCTGAAGGCGGATTTCGGGTTGATTTCTACCCGAATGGGATTAATAAAGGCGGTTGCGGCTGTGGACGGTGGAGATGGAGCTGGTAATGATTCATTGGAAAATAAGGATAAATCACCGCAAGGTGGTGTCTTGGCTGGTACTAAGGACAATGAAGCACCTGGTGCAGGAGGAGTGCAGGGTGCCGCAGGCGCAGTAAACGGGCAGTTACCTGCGGCTGGTCAAAAAGGGATTGAAAACAAAAACGTGGATCCCGGTAGAAATGCGGCAACGGACTCCCAAGATCAAAACAATGACCACTTGTCCTCTTCATCTGGCAGCACTCCCAGTCGTTCTGGTGAAAAACCCTCTTCGACGGGTACTTCCGAGATGACTCAATTGCCCAAGGACACGGTGACGAAATTAGATGCCGATCTTCAGGATAAACGTGAAAGTAGTGAAGGGATAAAGGCAGAAGAAACAGAAGAGGAGGAAAGACAAAAAATTAAAGCACACACCGGGTCTAGCGAAAGTAAAAATAATGGAGGAGAAACAACACCGCCACCACTAACATCATCAGATGAAGAAAGCCCGATATCAGATCAAGAAAACTCACAGAATTCAAAAAAAGTAAAGAACGAAGCCACGCCGTCACGATCCAAAACGGCGTCAGAAGCACCGGCACCACCTTCAGAAGATGCTACACAAGGGCAGCACAGTCATGACACAGACACAGAGGATCCGACGAAGAATGCAGCAACCGGCAGTCCAGTTGAACCAACGACCCCATCTACCTCTGCAAGTGGCAGCGGTGATCATGTCCACAATAAGGTAGATGAGGATGATGCTCAAAGACATGAAGGACAACACGACAGCCTTGAAACTGTCAATACCAACGTTGTTCCAACACTCAGTGAGAGAGCGTCACAAACGCCAGAAACAGCCACCGACGCTCGAACAAATGATACGACGACAAAGGTTGGCGACAGTGACGGCAGCACCGCGGCCTCTCGCACCACCTCCCCTCTTTTGCTTCTTCTTGTTGTTGCGTGTGCGGCTGCTGCTGCGGTGGTGGCCGCGTGAGAGTGAGGGAGAGAGAGCCGTGCACCGCCCGCACACACACTCGTCCTTCACTCTCTCTGTGTGTGTCCCCTTGCATGGACTCTCGCCCTCACCTCACCCCACGAGGCACACACATAATGTGCCCATTGTATATATGCATGCACACCCATGCATGCCCGTTGGTGCTCTCTTTTGCACGACACGCACCGCTGCCGTCCTGCCTGGCTGCATGGGCGGAGCACCGTAACTGTTTCTGTTTTGTTTTTATTGCATTGAGTGGACGACCTCTCTCTCTCTCCCTCTGTGTGTGTGTTTTGCTTTACGGGAGCAATGAGAGTGTGTGTGCGCTGGTCGTCCCACGCTTCGGCTTTTTGTTTTGCTTTACTTGTTTTATTGTTTGTGGTTGAGTGCACCCACTCCGCGGCTGCGTGTGTGATGATATGAGTAATTTGAGTGTGTGCTATCTGCCTCTCTCTGCCGTTGCTTTCTTTGAACTCTCTTGTGGCGCACAGCTGCTCTGCAAGTATAGGCGCTGAAAAAACGCAAGCATATTGACACACACACACACACAATATGTCGCACACACTGTGGAGTGGCGTGAACGCTGAGAATGCACACATGCACATGATTCCGACTGCGGAGGCCCTTGCGAGGACGGAGGACGTTAGCCCTCGATGTGTTTTGTTGGCATGTTGCTGGTGTGCAGTCTGTGGGTGTTTTTTGGGGGTGTCTGATACAACTGTTGATTGATTATCACCAGGCTGCTGCACATGCTGACGGGTCCCTCCCGCTCTGGATTTGCCGGTATTCTTCGGCTTTGCGGTGTGATACGCGCCTGCGGCGGGGAAGCGGGTGCGCTGGAAGGGACAACAGTAAAAACACTGGCAGCAGCGTGTCGGTGCTGCGAAGGACGGTTGCGCTCTTTTGTAATTTGCCGGTTGTTTTTTGTTGGCGTCGCTCGGTGTGTGCTGACGCGTGACGGATAACACACCCGCCGTGACTCCTGCTGGTGGTGGCAGTCGCTGTGTGTTCCCGGTGCACTGTTCTTCCTTCTCCTGTTCCGTGTGTCTGTGCGTGAGTTGTTGTTGTTGGGAGTGACTGCGGCGGGGATGATGGTGCCACTCACTGTGGATGGGTGGCGGTGTGTTTCACTTCTTTTTCCTCTTTTTTCTAAACCACTCACACAAAAAGGAAAGAAGTTACTACCAAGCGCTAAACGCCACTGTGAAATTCGAAGGCACTGAAAGGACCAACAGCACACACCGCCCACACACACATATTTATATGCTCTCACGTGTTGCTGCAGTGAAGGCACCCCGCACACACAACCGTCGCTGCGTGACCGGATCCCGCGGAAGGAGGAGGGAAGGAAGAGAGAGTGAGCGGCAGAGGCCCAACATGTCCCGGCGTGTGTTTACTTCCGCGGTGCTGCTCCTCCTCGTCGTGTTGATGTGCGGCACTGGAGGAGCTGTGAAAGCTGCTGAGCCAGCGTCAGGTCAGGGATCTTTACCGAAGTCACCCTTTGATTGGAGGGATACAAAGGATGAAGAAACAGTGAGTTCGCTTCGTGTTCCAGTCCTTGTTGAGGTGAATGGTGGTGTGTTTGCCGTTGCCGAGGCGCAGTGCACGAAGGATGGTGTCAGTTTTACTGGCATTGCATCCCAACTTCTCACGAACACAGCGGATAACAAACCGAAGGAAGTGCTGGAGGATGCCAAGGAGAAACCACAAGTTCTGGAAGAAGACATTTCCACGGAGAAGAAGAAAGTAGATGTGAGCCGACCAACAGTTGTTGTGAGTGGAAATAATATTTACATGCTTGTTGGAAAACACAGCCATGAAGATGCCGCTAACTGTCAGGCTGGGACTGAGAACATCAAATCGGGAATGTTGCTGGTGAAGGGTGAGCTCGGTGAAGCCGACAAAAAAATTGATTGGAAAACTACTGACGGTGTACCGTGCACTCTAGGCGAGAAACACGAATCCTTGTCACAGCTGATTGGCGGCGGTGGATCGGGTGTCAAGTTAACTGACGATACGCTTTTGTTTCCGGTGGAAGCCACGAAGAATGTAAAGGATGGAAGGACAAAGACCGTTTCGCTGATTATATACACAGCCACTACCAGTTGGAATCTGTCGAAGGGGATGTCTGCCGATGGCTGCGGTGATCCCTCCGTCGTGGAGTGGAAGGGAAAACTCATGATGATGACTGCGTGTGATGATGGCCGCCGCAGGGTGTACGAGTCCGGTGACAAGGGGGATTCGTGGACGGAGGCACTCGGGACACTCTCGCGCGTGTGGGGCAACGACGAGGGAAATGTGTGGGGCGTTAGAAGCGGTTTCATCACAGCGGCTCTTGGTGTTGAAGATGATAAGAGGAATGTGATGCTCGTTACTCTGCCGGTGTATTCAAAGGAAGAAAAAAATGGAAAAGGCGTACTCCATCTTTGGCTGACGGACAACACGCACATTGTTGATATTGGGCCGGTATCCGGGGAAGATGACGTTGCCGCCAGCTCCCTGCTGTACAAAAGTGGAGATAATAATGAGGAGAAGTTGATTGCACTGTACGAGAAGAAAGGCGGTGAGGGATCATCACTCGGTATGGTCTCTGTGCTTCTGACTGAGCAGCTGAAGCGGGTGAAGGATGTGCTGGCGACGTGGAAGGAAGTGGACGGACGTGTCTCCAAGCTGTGCCCCACTTTACTTGCTGAGAAGGATGAATCAACTGAAAATGCCTGCAGCACTACTGTTAAGATCACGGCTGGGTTGGTTGGCTTTTTGTCCGGCAACTTCTCTGATAACACATGGAGGGACGAGTACTTCGGCGTGAACGCCACAGTAACTAATAAAGATCTTGGGGTGGAGAAAACGGAAAATGGCATAACATTTAAAGGACGTGGTGCGTGGGCGGAGTGGCCCGTTGGCAGTCAGGGGGAGAATCAGCTGTACCACTTTGCGAACTACAACTTCACTCTTTTGGCGACGGTGTCCATCCACGGTGTGCCGGAGAGCGGCAGCCACATTCCTTTAATTGGTGCGAAGATGAATGACAGTGAGAAGACTGTACTCGTGGGACTGTCATACAACAACAAAGAAAAGAAGTGGATATTACTGTGCGATGGCGGAGAGAACAAGGAGCACAGCAGCCATTTGGGGACAGAGAATTCAGAACACGTGGTAATTTTGCTACGGAACGGCAACCAGAGCTCCGCGTACGTTGGTGGTAAGCGTGTTTGTGGAAATGTGCAACGTGAATTGAAAAACACGGATCCGAAAGAGATCTCACACTTCTACATTGGAGGGGATGGAGGCAGCGCAGAGGGCCAAGAGGGCGTGTCTGTGACCGTAACGAACGTTCTGCTGTACAACCGCCCGCTGACTGAAGAGGAGGTTGGCGCCCTCAACCCGAATAAAGCCCCCATTACGTCTCCGGTGACCGAAAATGCGCCGGAAACCGTGTTGCAGCCTCCTGCGAAACCACAGCCGTCGGAACACGAACCGTTGACGACGAATATTGGTGCTGGCGGTGTACCCAGTGCAGCTTCCACTGCTACGACTCCCTCGTCTGATGTTGACCCAACGGTGGCGACAGGAGGTGGAGATACGATGCGGGGAAATGAATCTCCCCAAACTCCTGAAGTGAGCGCTAGCTCTGGTGAGGATAGGGAGACGGCGGGAATAACGGATGCGCAGGGAGAGGAGGATGAAATCCATCCACAGGCCGGGGAATTAAATGCCACGGCACTCAACAGCAGCCTCGGACATTTGTCGCAGGGGAATAACAGCGATGGCGGCACCATGCGTGAGAGCAGACGGCTGCCGTCGCTGCTTCTTCTGTTGGGACTGTGGGGGTTTGCGGCTCTGTGAGGAGTGACTGACTGCCGCGTGGATACCTGCGACCTCCCGAGCAGAGAATTACTTCTCCGGGAACAAATTTCTCTCATAAATCTTTTTTTGCGTATTTTAAATTTATTTTCCTGTGTGCTTCTTTCTAGTTTTTTTCTTTTCTTTTTTTTTCTAACCTAACTCCCCCATCCCTTTTCTTTTTTGCTTTCGGGGGCAATCACGATGGACGTTTTTTCTTTCTACTCTACCCTCTTTTGATTGTTTCTTCTGAACTCTTTTTGTGAGGGGTGCCGTGTGTTTCCGCCCAACTGCTCCACTCGCACACCCACCGACACGCTCATGACGACGGCCCTGTGCGCTTCGCCTGCTGCACGCATGAGGAGGGGCCGCGACGAACGGCGCGCTGAGGGAACCGTGACGCGTGGGCGTGCGACGAGGGCCTGTGGGACGGAGCACACATTTCTTTCCCTCTTGTTTTGTTTTGCTTTTATGCGGTCAGGGCGGGCAGACACCCGCAGCGCCACACACACAGCCACACCCTGCCGCCGTGCTTTGATGATTTTTTTTGCTGCGCTCACTCTCCCGATGGAGTGACGCGACTGCCGTCATGTCTGCGTGCTTCTCTCAGTCCCACACACACGAGTTACTTTTCTCTGCGGGCCGCACTCACGCGCCGATGGGAGGGCTGAGGGGAGCAGCAACACGCCGATGACCCCGTGAAATATAAACGATGCGCGGACACGCAGAGGGTCGGACGGCTGAAAGAAATTTAAATATCTTTTAATTTTATTTTGCGGGCAAAAAATATGCAGACGGTTTGTTGTGGCCACACGGCAGCCAGCTGTCTTTTGTTAATTTGTGTGGAGCAGTAATGGACGATTTCTTTTATTTATAATTATTTTGTGTGATGGGGTTTGTATAAGATGAAGGGAAGGTTTCTTTTTTCGTTTTAAATAAATCTTGTGTGAATTGCCGCTGCTTGGGCTGCAGTGCAGTCATGAGTTTGAGCGGTCCTTTCGTTGTTTCCGTTATGCGTCTCTGCTGTACATTTTTGTGTCTCTCCACACGCTCTGGTCGCTGTTTTTCTACTTTATGCTTTGTGCTTCTGCAGGCACACACACAAGATGCACATTGCAGTGGGTTTGAATACACCTTTTGTGGTGCATGCTGGCAGCTGCGTGTGGCGGCGGCTGTCTTCTTCCGTGGCCATGAGGAGGGGAGAGAGGGAGCGCACCCCGAGTCTATTTTCCTGCGGGTGTGGTGGTTGTGCCGGTGGATGTGTCGTGTGCTCCGAGTGACGGCGGCCTGAGCCATTGCGTGCATGTGCGTGTGTGGGCGTGGAAGAAGTGTTCTGCTGCCGGTGCTGAGGCTCAGCGTGAGAATTATACTTTCAGTGGCTTTGATGTGCGCATGCATGACAGGAATGGTGAGCTGGGTGCTGTGTGCCATGTGGCCAATGCGGTGCACACATGTAGCAGCTGTGCTGCCAGCTGTGCAAGGAAGGAGGAAGGGGCCACCGTTGCCTCCACGATGAATGTGACGACACATAAATACGCCGGCCCTTATGAATTGTGGCGGCGTCAATTTTCACCGATGGAACCATCCATCCGCGTGCACGGAGCAGCGATGCTGACCGGACGGGCATCTGTCAGTTGCCGCCACCCCGTGAAGGGAAGGATGACACAAAATCTGGTGGGACAACTGCGCCGCAAGTTAATGCTGAGCCGTCACATCAGAACGATGATTGGCGACGGTCTGCGGCGGCTGACGGACCCAACACCGTCGATCGGAGTCCCGCATCCAACACGGCGACCAACACGTCCGGGAAGAAGCTTGAGTTTGCCAGCAATCTGACCGCAGTGTTGTCCCCGAATGCATCCAAGAAGAGGCCCTCCTTTGCCAACGGTCCGAGAATAGTAGTGGCGTCGAATGCATCCGGGATCATGTCTGTCACTTGTGGCGGCAGGGAACTCGTTGCTGCGGATAACACGTACGAGGCGAGTGAGCGCAACGCCACCGGACACACATCTCTCGTTTTAGAAAACGGCGTTGCGGTCAGTGGATTTGTTGCTGAGGGTGATGCGGGCGGATTGATTCAACGCAATGCCTGTGGACACGAAAACCCACAATTGCGAGAATTCACCGCGCAGTATTCCGTAAACGGTGTGAGTCCCGGCGACTGCTTTGCCCTGCTCAACGACGCGAAATTGACACTGCTTGAGTTGACTGTTGAAGGCACTGTGTGTGTGTGCGTGTATTGGGTGTTGCTGCTTCTTCTGGGATTGTGTGGAATTGCGACTCCTCACGGAGAACATTCGCCGTGTTGCATGCGTGTTTTCTTTTATTATTTACATTTTACTGTTGGCTTTGTTGTTTTCCTGGAATAATAAGTATCCTTGCTGTTCCTTTATTTAATGGTCGGTTGCTGCACACTGTCATGGGTGACGTGTTTCTCCTCTTGTTTTGTTTTTGCTGCCCACACACGGTGCCGGCCTCACTACTGTGTCTCCCACGGAGTGCACAAAGGCGGACTGGAGGAACAGGCCACATGCCGCATGACGTGTGAAGGGTGTTGTGTGGGCTCGTGGAACAGCAAGATCTGTTTTTTAGTTTCCATTTTTCGTGCGGGCAGAATGTGTGCACACGGCTGCCATGTGCTTCTAGGCACAAGAAATAAAAGTCCTGCCTGAACAATTATTTAATTTTGTGGGTTTTGCTGGACTCACACTTTTTTCTTTTTCCTTTTGGGCAACTCGTTGCGGCTTGTTTCCGTTTGTGCTGTGCACACCGTCACTTTGTGTTGCCGTGTCCCGTTGAGTGTCGCTCTGCTGGCTGTGCTGCTGACATGCCTCCATTTCTCTTCTTTCCCTGCTAGAGGCACCGTTCTTTTACGACGACGATTGTTTGTGTTTCCCATTGCGATGGCAAGAGGGTGGCTGGGCGCCCTGCCCCGGCCTGCTGAGTGCACTCGGAGGGAGCGGATGGTGTGCGCCGTGCCTCACTGTGGGTGTGGAACACTAATCCGCCACAACCTGCTGTGAGGCGCCATGCCAATTTGTCATGGCAGAGGGAAGTGAAGGACTGTGCTCTGGACTTGGATGCGCTCCGTCTCTTTTCCCCTGCGGTTGTGTGTGTGCGGTGCGCATGTGTCTTTCTTGCAGTGCGACGTGGATGGCGTTGCTGCTGCGTGTGCATTTATGCGTGTGTTGTGCGGCGGACTTCTCTTTCTTTCCCACTGCACCGCCCTTGTGTGTGGGCGATTGGGGGGAGCGGGGAGGTGCGAGGAACTGAGCGTGGGTGGCTGCCGACTACGCCCCGCGCATTGGGGTCTTCCACACACACGTGGCTCCTCACGGCAGCCTCTTGCAGCACCAGGCCGTGGACTGAGAGGATGGGAAGTGTGCTCCAACCAGAAGGACAACGAGATGCGGTGCGTGACGGTGAGGCTGATCCGCGGGTGTTTGCAGCGCATGGGGCACGTGAGCCAATACGTGTTGAGCGTTGTGCTCATAATTGGGGCAGAGTGGCGGCACGACATTGTGGCGCTGTGTGTGTTGTGCGCGGCCGGAGCATGGCGGCGATTGTGAGGGACGTGGAGGACACGGAGCTGCTGGACTGGGAGGAGGTGGCTTACGTTGCGGCGCGGCGGGAGTGCATTACTGACTGCCTGTGCTGGAGGGGCGCGTGCTGGAGTGAGCGTGGCGTGCCTGTGAGGGCCTGAGGGGAGGGAATAACAGTAATAGTGACCGTGTGGGCGTGAGGAACGGGTCACGGCGAGGATTAATTCTTTCGTTTTTTGATTGCTGTTGGACCGCGCCCACCCAATTGTTGTTGTGGTGCGTGACTCTCATTGCTGGATGGGACTGTGCGTGGCTGTGCGACTTGTCTTTCTTTGCTTTTGCTCTGCGTTGACGTGTTGTTAGTTTGTGCTGAAGGCTGCACGCAAGTGACAGGAGTGATGGCGATGATGACTGGCCGTGTGCTGCTGGTGTGTGCCCTCTGCGTGCTGTGGTGCTGTGCCGGCAGCGTTTATGCGGGGGACCGCGACAACAACGCAGTGGGTGGTTGCATGGCGTCGGAAGTGTTTGGCGCGGATTTGTCTCATGCGCCGAGTGGATGTAATAAACCGGGGATTACAGTGCTATTTCGGTCAACGTTGCCCATTACTGCCGTTGTGGCGTCGGATGAAGAAGTTACTTCTGTTACAATGCAGAACGATTTGGGTTCAAGAGAAAATTCCAACGCTGCTGGTCCCGCTGGTCCCGCTGGTCCCACTGGTCCCGCTGATCTTGCTGATCCCGCTGATCCTGCTGGTCCCGCTGATCCTGCTGGTCCCGCTGATCCTGCTGGTCCCGCTGGTACTGCTGCTGCCGGGGTTCCTGGTGCTCCTGGTGGTGGTGGTGGCGGTGGAACTTCTCTTGGAGGTGGTGGCACCGATGAAATTTCTTCTGTTTCTTCTGGTGGTGAAAATGAGCCTCCTCCTCCTCTTTTAAAAGCAGAAAACGAAGCAATACGAGTTCCAACAGTCGGAGAAGATGAGGCAAAAAAAGCACCACAAAGTCACGATAATTCAGTCGAACAGCACTCTGGAGAAAATCAAGAACATCTACACGAAGAAATACGAGATCAGCAAAAGAAACAGGAACAGCGGCAAGAACAACACGAAAACAACATAAACCACGAAGAAGGAGAAGAGAAACAACAACAACAGGAGCAGCATCAACAGCATGATCATTCCGCGAAAAACAGCGATGGACCCACAAAAAACGAAACTACCGTAGGTACAAATGCCACCGCTTCAACTGGCGACAGTGACAGCAGCACCGCGGTCTTCCACACCACCTCCCCTCTTTTGCTTCTTCTTGTTGTTGCGTGCGCGGCTGCTGCTGCGGTGGTGGCCGCGTGAGAGTGAGTGAGAGAGAGCCGTGCACCGCCCGCACACACACTCGTCCTTCACTCTCTCTGTGTGTGTCCCCTTGCATGGATTCTCGCCCTCACCTCACCCCACGAGGCACACACATAATGTGCCCATTGTATATATGCATGCACACCCATGCAGGCCCGTTGGTGCACTCTTTTGCACGACACGCACCGCTGCCGTCCTGCCTGGCTGCATGGGCGGAGCACCGTAACTGTTTCTGTTTTGTTTTCATTGCATTGAGTGGGCGACCTCTCTCTCTCCCTCTGTGTGTGTGTTTTGCTTTACGGGAGTAATGAGAGTGTGTGTGCGCTGGTAGTCCCACGCTTCGGCTTTTTGTTTTTTTTTACTTGTGTATTGGTTGAGTGTACCCATTCCGCTGGCTGCATGTGTGTGTGTGATGATATGAGTAATTTGCGTGTGTGCTATCCGCTTCTCTGTTGTTGCCTTTTGACTTTCTTGTGTTCCGTACATCTGCTCTGCAAGTATAGGCGCTGCCAAACACACAAACACATGCACACGCTGTGGAGCGGCGTGAATGATGAGAACGCGCACACGCACAAGATTTTGGCTGCGGCGGCCCTTTCGAGGAGGGATGACGGAAGACTGCGATTTTATTTTTTTGCCGTGCTGCGAGCGTGATTTTCTTGGCGTGCTGCCCGTGTGCGGCGCGGCATTGAGGGAGCCTGGGAGATATGCGTATGGATTCACTCCTGGCAGCTGCACGTGCCGACGTGTTCCTCTCGCTGTTCGCACAGCGACGGAGGATTCCCCGGCTGTGCGGGGCGATGTGCGATGGAGGGTGTGGGAAGAGACAACAGTATAACGACTGGCGATGGCGCGTTGGTGTTGCGAGGGGCAGTTGTACCCTTCTGCGTCTCGCCGATTGTTTTGTGTGTCGGCGTAGCTCGGAGAGTGCTGACGCGTGGCAGAAGCACCCGCCGTGGCTCCTGCTGGTGGCAACAGTCGTTGTGTGTTCTCTTTGCACTGTTCTTCCTCCTCGTTCCGTGTGTCTGTGCGCGTTAGTTGTTGTTGTTGGGAGCGAATGCGCTGCAGATGATGATGCCGCTCACTGTGGATGGGTGGCGGTGTGTTTCACTTCTTTTTCCTCTTTTTTCTAAACCACTCACACAAAAAGGAAAGAAGTTACTACCAAGCGCTAAACGCTACTGTGAAATTCGAAGGCTCTGAAGGGACCAACAGCACACACACCGCCCACACACACATATTTATATGCTCTCACGTGTTGCTGCAGTGGAGGCACCCCGCACACACAACCGTCGCGGCGTGACCGGATCCAGCGGAAGGAGGAGGGAAGGAGGAGAGAGTGAGCGGCGGAGGCCCAACATGTCCCGGCATCTCTTCTACTCTGCGGTGCCCCTTTTTCTTCTTCTTGCGATGTTGTGCTGCAACAGTGTTGGGGCTGTGGCTGCTGCAGGATCCGAGTCACGTCAGGGCTCCTCATCGGGGAAATATTTTGTTTCGAGAGATGTGAAGGATGGAGAAAAGTGAGTCCTCTCCATGCTCCCAGTCTTGTTGAGATGAACGGTGAGGTGTTTGCCGTTGCCGAGGCGTGGTGAGGGAAGGATAGCGTCATTTTTTCTTGCATTGCCTCACAATTCATGAAGTTGGACGACAAAAACCCAAAGCCCTGGAAGAACTGAGGTGAGGACGGAAGTGCTGGAGGAATGTCCAACCGATGGATGGAATTGCGCCTCCAAAACAGAGGATAAGGATGGTTCCCAAGGCGGGACGAGAGTACATGTGAGCCGTCCAACAACAGTTTTGAAGGGAAATGATATTTACATGCTTGCTGGAGTCTGCATGAGTAAAGGTCTCTCTAATTGTCAGGTAGGTGTGGCTGGCGTGGCTCAGTGGGGACTTTTGCTGGTGAAAGGGAACGTCAGTGGTGTGGATGAAAGTACCAAAAGAATTTATTGGAATGATACCATCAGTATTTTGTGCAATGCTATCGGTGACAACGATGACACTTTGACAGGACACATTGGCGGTGGTGGATCGGGTGCTAAGATGGAAGACGGTACGCTTGTGTTCGCAACGAAGGCCGTGAAGGAGAATAAGGTTAATGGCACTGCGGAGGATGGAAGGAATAACAATGTTTCGCTGCTCATGTCCTCCTCGGATGCTGCGAGTTGGAAGCTGTCGAAGGGGATGTCTGACGGTGGCTGCAGTGATCCCTCCGTCGTGGGGTGGAGGGAAAACTCATCATGATGATGACTGCGTGTGCTGATGGCCGCCGCAGGGTGTACGAGATCGGTGACAAGGGGAGGCCGTGGACGGAGGCACTCGGGACGCTCTCGCGCGTGTGGGGCAGCAACCGTAAGCCACATGAGAAGGGCGTTGGAAGCGGGTTCATCACAGCGACGATTGAGAACCGGGACGTGATGCTTGTTGCTCTGCCGGTGTATTCCGAGAAGCTTGAGAAGGGAGGCGCTCAAAAGGGTGAACTCCATCTTTGGCTGACGGACAATACGCACATTGTTGATACTGGACCGGTATCCGGGGAAGGAGACGATGCTGCCGCCAGTACCCTGCTGTACAAAAGTGCTGGAAGTGGTGAAGCTAATAATAATGAAGAGTTGATTGCACTGTACGAGAAGAAGAAGGGCGCTGAGGGCAAACCATCACCCGGTGTGGTCTCTGTGCTCCTGACTGCGCAGCTGAAGCGAGTGAAGGAGGTGGTGGCGACCTGGAATAAAGTGGACCAAAGCGTTTCCCAGCTGTGCCCCCCAAGTGCTGAGAAGGACCGTCCAACTGAAAATGACTGCAGCGGTGTTAAGACCACGGATGGGCTGGTTGGCCTTTTGTCCGGCAACTTCTCTGGTAACACATGGATGGACGAGTACCTCGGGGTGAACGCCACGGTAAGTAATAATGAAGGGGCTGCGAAGGCAACATTGCATGCCTGCGGAGTGGCGTTTAAAGGAGCGTGGGTGGAGTGGCCCGTTGGCAGGCAGGGGGAGAATCAGCTGTACCACTTTGCGAACCACAACTTCACTCTTGTGGCGACGGTGTCCATCGACAAGGTGCCAGCGAAGGAGGGCCTTATTCCTTTGATGGGTGTGAAGATGAATGACGCAGAGAATCCAGTACTTCTGGGACTGTCGTACAACAAAGAAACGAAGTGGAAATTGTTGCAGAGTGGTGGAAAGACCGAGGAGCTCAGCGGCACTTGGGAGACAGACGCAAAGTGCCAGGTGGCGATTGTGCTACAGAACGGCAAACAGGGCTCGATCCACGTTAATGGTAAACTTGTGTGTGGGGATGCGCAATGTGAACTGAAAAATACGGATATTAATGTGGTCTCCCACTTCTGCGTTGGAGGGGATGGAGACAAAACAGGGAGCAACGAAGGCGTGTCTGTGACTGTGACGAACTTCCTGCTGTGCAACTGCCCGTTGGATGGCAATGGGATTAATGCGCTTAACGCAAACAAAGTTTCTATTCCGAAGAGTGTGGCTGCGCGTACGTCTTCGGCCGTGGTGTCTCGCCCGAAGTGCTCTGCTGAACATTTGGCGGCGGGAGCCACGGGTGGCGTTGCCGCTCGTGGCAGTGGGGCACATGGTGGTGGCGGCACTGTGTTTGGCAACGAGGTGCTGCCATCGCTTGTTCTTTTGTTGTGACTGTGGGGGTTTCCGGCACTGTGAGGAGTGACTGGCTGCCGCGTGGGACACTGCGACCTCCCCTGCACAGAACTACTGTCCTCCCGGAAACGAAATATTCCCCGGATAACATATTTTTTCGTTTGTAATTTTTACACCTTTTTCTTTTGTGCCTTTTTTTAAATTTGAATTTTGTGTGCCGCCACCGTGCGTGATTGTTGATGTCGGGGCCGCACCGCATGTACCGCTGCCATCCAGCCGTGCCTCTTGCTGTGTGTGTGTCCCCTTGCATGGACTCTCGCCCTCACCTCACCCCACGAGCCACACATAATGTGCCCATTGTATATATGCATGCACACCCATGCAGGCCCGTTGGTGCTCTCTTTTGCACGACACGCACCGCTGCCGTCCTGCCTGGCTGCATGGGCGGAGCACCGTAACTGTTTCTGTTTTGTTTTTATTGCATTGAGTGGGCGACCTCTCTCTCTCTCCCTCTGTGTGTGCGTTTTGCTTTACGGGAGCAATGAGTGTGTGCGCTGGTCGTCCCACGCTTCGGCTTTTTGTTTTTCTCTTTTGTTTTTAATCTTTGCTTCTGTTGTGGTTGGGTGCACTCATTTTAATTTCATTGATTGGTTTTCTTCTTAAAGTGCGGATGGCTGAATATTTTCCCTTTTGTATTCTCCTGTTCTTTGTTTCTTCCCACGCAATCGGTCCTTGTTGCTTCAGCGAGCCACGAAGTATTTGCCTAACACCCACATCAATGGCTTACTTGCTCTACACCCCACGTTAGTTTGAGACGCTGGTGCTGCTGCATGTGATGGTGTTTATGGTGTGATTGCCAGCGGGTGCTTTGCTGTCACTTTGACGTACCCTCGATTTGTTGAATATGTTATGCGTGCCGACAGCACGAATTGGATCCGCGTTGTTGTGAGGGACGCACCCTCTTTGAGCAGTTGGTGCGCTGCAGCCATACACCGTCATTGGGAAGGATGGATGGATGCCCATCCGCATCAACGTATCCACAAGGGACCTGGATGATACCGGGAAGTATTGGATCTCAGAGAGGTACTACGCAATGAATTCATTGAATGACAATTGCGAGTGTGAAGGTGACGTTGTATCCTCTGCGCACGGGATCATTCTCGAGAATGAAGTTGTCCCTGCTGCTTTCAAACTGCATGCGGAGCTTCTGCTCGTGCAGCCACTGGAGGGTCCTTTGATTGTGCCCCCATTTGCCACGGGCAGCGTTTGCATTCGGTTCACGGTGCGTGCTGGGCATTGTTCCACTGGTGTTGTCAATGCTGACTTGGTGCTGTGCGTGGCAGGGCGTTGTCGGTGGTGGTGCACTCGACGACTGCCGTGGTG